TCTCTCTCTCTCTCTCTCTCTCTCTCTCTCTCTCTCTCTCTCTAAGATAAAAAATTGGTAACACACTTGCTCTCTGGGAGGGGTGATTGGCCTCTATTTTAAGCCACAAAGAGGGTGGCAAGTAACTAGTTCTCTACTGCCATCTACAGGCAGAGTGTCATAGAGCAGGGTGCAAGGGTATTGAACCAAGCTTCCCAGCATCACATTATTAGCTGATTAGTATGGATTTGTTCAATTAGACTGAAATGCTCTATTTGCACGAACAAAATTCAAAAGGACAATGTTAAAGCATTAAGAAAATTATCAACTAAAACAATAAACAGCATTAAATGGGGGAAATATTGGAAGTGTCATCTTAGTCATGGGTTCTTCATCAAGCTGGGCAAATCTAATCATGCCTCCCTCCCGTCTCAGCTCTCAGAGAGTCTACTGTTAAAATGTCATCTCTAATTCCATTTCATGTCTATAAATTGCATTTTAATAACCTTTTGTTTCCCTATTTTTTTTAATCTCTCCAAACTGACATGAAAGGTGTCAGGACAATGGAACCCTTCTTGGAGGCAGACTATCTCGGGTTTATGGATAGCGTGGAGCCTCCCCTGACCACATTGCCTGATTCAACAGCATTAGGTCATTTTCCATCTTTCAGAAGGGCCCCATGACCCTCAAGATATCCAGTTGGTAATTACATTCCCAGCCAATTGGGGACCCTTGTGCAGCCTTCACATCAAGTCGCCATTTGGCCTTCCCTTGCTCTCAGTAATGCATGGAAGGAGAGACAGGGCAGGGCAAGTGCAACATGGACAAGCCAGTGTGGTTTAGACCCTGCATTTGTGTCAAACCACAGTCATGTCAGAGATGACACCTGTGAATACAGAGTGCTTGTTCAGACTGTATGCCCTTTTGTTCTTTTGTCAGTCGAGAAAAGAAGCATGTTATAAACTCCTTGATAATCATTGTTGCTTTGTGACACGTAGATTTCTAAGGAAAGACAAGTCCTATGTAAAGACCAATGGCATGACTGTTTCCAGAAAAAGAAGAAAAAAATAGAAAGAAAAGAAAATAACTCCACAAATGGACACTCCAGTCTAATTAAAAAAATTCCAGGAGTGCATATAATTAAAACAGAACAGGACTATGTAAGATAAAGACTATTTAAAGTAAAATGCATGTGTTTCGTAGCCTCCTGGGAGCACATATATGCTCAGGGGAAAATTCTGTCCGAAGGAAACTTATTTTCACTTAATTTATCAAACAGAAATCACCACTGTGTTCTATTTATTGGAGAAGTGCTTATCATGTGGGAATAAAACCAGAATTATTAAATTGTCAAGTGGTCTTTATAGACTATACCATTCATAAAAGGGATTTAGTTCACCTTCCACTGAAGTCCTATCACACAGATTATTGCTTTGAGGTCATACACAGAGTTTGGAAGGGCATCTTATTTAACGCTAATATTATTTAACACTAATATTATTTAATCTTGTGATAGAACTGCTATAAATACTTAGTCTTTATACTTCAAACCAGGGCCAAGTTTATGGAATTTGCCAATGCTATTCTGAAAGCTAAAAGCAAGGCAGTCCTAGTGGCCAGTTTCTAATTCCCAGCTCTGCCCCATGCCTTGCAACTTCCTGGGGGTCTTTGTAGAAGGGGAGATGTTGATGTGGGAACAGCATCCTGGGGAAGGAATGTAAGTTCAGTCCCCTCCTTTTGACACTGACATTGATAGCTTTTTCATACTTGAAATTTGAATGGCAGTGTTTAACATGCAGATTATTCCCAAGTGCTGTCTAATGGTTAAAGTTCCTTAAATGTACATTTAATTCATGTGTAACTCACAGTCAGTGCTCTATAACTCATGTTTCTATTGTGGTTTGGTTGACATGGAAAATATGTTAGTGATAAACTGAGACCTCTCCTTTTATAACAGCATTCATGCTGGGCACAGTGACTCACACCTCAGGAGTCTGAGATAGGAAGGCTGCTTCAAGTTTGAATGAAGTCAACCTGGGCTACATAATGAGTTCTAGGTCAGCATGGTGTACAGGTGAGACCTTACCTCAAAACAAAACACAAAAGTAAACAACAGCAACAATAACAACAAAAAACTGAAACCCAATAACAAAACAAAGAAAACAATTGCTTTCAAAATGGTGTAGTTGTAATACTTAGAAAAAATACCAGTGACAACTGATATTCTGTTGAGATATTTCGATGAAGTTTTAACAGATTCCTAATTTAATAAATTCATAAAGATTTGGTTTCAGAATTTATCAGTATCTGATTAAAACAGAATTTGCCCTGAAACATGTATCATTTGCTAACTGGAAAATCACACAGAAGTTTCTGTCCATAGTCATTACAGGACTCCTAGAATACTTTAAACAAATCATTACTAAATAGCCAAAGCAAACCAAAGACCGATAAAATGAAATTATGGAGAAAAAAAAGACCCCAGATAACCCATGTGGGAAAGATATTCCCTTTAACAGCAAGGAGCCATGAGCAGGAGCAGAGAAACAATCCTTTTTGTGGAAGGGTGCTGGCAATCCATTCCAAAATGGTGGCCCACTGAAGCCAAATCTTTTGGAAAGGCCAGACCTATGAAAATAGAATTTTGGATTCACTGTGCATCCCCAAGAGATAGTAGCTTGCAAAAATTCCTGATGACAAAGAACACTGATACTTTGGAAAATATGGAGGACAATTGATTTTTTTTCCCCACTGAGTTTTCTTGGAAAGAGATAAAGAGAGGCCAAAAGAAAAGCTTGAGTGTAAAACTTCAGCATTGCCCAGGAACAGCCAAAGGAGTTTACCATCTATGGTTTACTCATGTATTATCACCCACACTGTACTGAAAAAGGTCCCTGGCAGACTGAGAGATGTAAACAGCAAGAGCAAGCTGGTCTTTGTGCCACTTGCACAGTCAAGAAGTCCCTATCAGACAGGTAACTGTCGAAGCGGTCCTTCCATGGGTCTTAGCTTTGGCATTCTAGCAGGATCAAAACAACAAAAAGGAAAACGCAACACTGAAACACCCATAAAAAGGGTTAACCACAGCACTGCTCATGAGGTGAGCAAGATGGCTCATCGGTTAAGAGCACTGACTGGTCTTCCAGAGGACCCAGGTTCAATTCCCAGCACTCACATGGCAGCTCACAACTGTCTGTAATGCCAGTTCCAGGGGGAATCTGACACCTTTATGCCAATGAACATAAAATAAAGTTAAATTTTAAAAAAGGCTGTCCACAGCATGAATACTCTCTCAGGGTTCACTACCACCCTAACTAAATGCTTTGTTGAGAAAAGGGGGGCAGCCTGAGTGTCTCTCACACGGGGTGTCCTGCTAAAATGGACATAGTCTGGCTAAAGAGGAAATTGTTAAAAACTCAAGTGATCTGAGATGTGGATATATGTGCACTCCAGAATTTGACACCAGGAAGTCTGAGGTTTGAGAATTTCTCAGACCAATTTCATCTTTGTTAGAGAAGCTATCAAATTACATATAGTGTATGCCTGCATGTGTAGATCAGGGAAAAAATATCCAGTGCAACCTCATCAAATAAAATGGTAAATGATAAAAGATGTCAACTTGACAAATTCCTAAGGAGCAAGACATGTGACTTCACTGGGTGTTCCCAGCAATTCAGTCTCTCTGAAAATCACTCAGTGTTTGCTTTCTGCTGTTTTTCCTTTCACCTAGCTTTAGTATGAAGGTCTGCATTGCTCCAGACTCTCTGCTATGTTGTCTCCCTCCCAGCTCCCCTCCCCTTACAGGTCCTAGCTAAAGGACATTGACTGCTTCACCGGAGAGTCAAGAAGTTTACACTGGCACAGAGTCCAGTTTGGGGAGAGGTTTTTTTTTTTTCTTAAAAAAAATAAATCATGAAATTAATATATGCTGCCAGATACCCTGGAGGTGTTGGATAATGAGGCACTCAGGGAGACACTCCGCACACACACCACCTCCCCTGCTGCCTGAAGAAATGACCCACTATGCTGTCTCTGGGAGGAATCTCGAAAGAAATGCCTGTCTCTCGGGTGGGCTGCTTTTAAAAGTTAGAGGTGGATATTTCAGATGCTTACTGCTATGACAGAAACTCCAGCTGCTGTGCTGTTCGGCTTGGGACCTGTGTTGAAATGCTTCTTGATCTTGCCAGCTACTGACAGCTGATGCTCATTTTCTGGGAGACCGTCATCCTGGAGGATAAAAAGAGTGAGAAACAAAGAAAGAAAAGCAAAAATGAGATACACGGAAGTGAGGTTGAAATCTGAATCTCAGGTCAGGATCTTAGCACTGGAAGAGGTCAGAGAGCAGTCAACCAAGGCTTTCTCATGAGGCTGTCATTAAAGGGACCCCGTCCACTGTCTTCCTTTGCTGTTGGTGTTTTAAATGCTGACCCTGTACCACCAGACCCTTGGAGGTTTGTCTCCAAAACCAAAATAGTCCGACTTTGGTTTCTAATAAAATCTATTTTCAACGTTGGCCCCATGGACATATGTTCAGGGTAAAGTTAATATGCCCAACTCAAAACTCCTAGACTCAGCAAGTCTTCCTCTCCTTCGTAGCCTGTGATTTAGATCAAAAGCTTAGGAGATGAGCAGAACTGGTCACATGTGTGGCCATAAATAAAATTCCCCACCCTCTCCTCCCATAGCTACTCAATTGGCTATTCTAAAATCCCAGACAACCCCCTAGGTAAAAAGTTCTTCCCTAAGTTTTAAATCATCCTTACTGCCTTCAAATCATTTGTTATTATGACTCTGTCCTTATGATGTAGTCCCTGCTAAAGCTCCTTTTAGCTAAGTCTTCTGGTCTCTGATGACCAAACCAAGGATGAATGCATGCATCACCACTTACTGGTTCACTGTGAAAGGCTGCATGATCCTTGAATGCAGGGACTGTACTTTACTCACTGTTGGATCCCAGGTCTTAGGACAGTGTCTGGGCACATGTCACACATTTAATAAACAATTACGGAATAGATCAATGAATGGGCAATAGGGTGTGTATCACTGTCTGGTAAAACCTGGGAGAGATGTCCATTTTAAGACTTTGTTTTTTTTTTTCCTTCCCCTTCACTACTTTACACATCATTTCTTGTCTCTGTCCAGAAAAAGAAATCTGTTATTCCCCATGCACCACACATGTGTTATGAATGAGGTGTTCTCTGCACACGGGCTCTATTCCTTCTTTCGGCATTGGTCATCATTTATCCAGTGGATATTAACTATTCGTCTAGATGGGAACCAAGGTTTTACTAGTTGGTGTATGAAATGATAGCAAGCAAAAATGCAAATGGATCCTCTTCTTTGGGACCCTGGTCCATCCTTTTCTTGATGACATATGTACAAATAACCTGCTCTAAGACACTTTCCTTATTTAAGCACAGTCCATTCTAATGGCTTTTTGTTAGGTCCCCAAATGTCTTTTATTTTTGTCAGTTTGCTCATATACGTGTATTTTCTGGTATCGAGTTATCTTATTAGTCTACGGTATTATATCTGTCCATGACATATCTATTATCTATGGATCCACCTGTCCATTATTACCATGCTGTACCACCTTTTCCAAGCTCTCTGCAATCGTTAATGCGAGCACTTGGTTCTCTGACCTGTGAACAGTGGGTATTCATGTTATAATAAACATATGGATTGATGGTCAGAAGAAGGAATTAACTAGTATGTCTTTTTGGGGGGCCACAATCTGAAGGAAGAGGGAAGTTCCCATTTTATGGGATGAGCAAGAAATAGATGCTGAAGTGGGATGATACTTGGGGAGGTTACAGAAACAAGAATGGGTGAAATACCTACTATATTGAGGGCTAGATTAGGGATACCCGGCTGTGGGAGAAAGGAATGACCTCTACCCACTGGATGCCTGTATGCTAATGGGGAGAGGAAGGGCACATGCTGGACCAAATTATGAAAGAGACAAACAAGTTAAGAGTGGTCATGAGGCAGCTAGTCCCAAAGCTTGGTGGGAAATCCCAATGTTGTTGAGAGGAATGAGAACATACTGCCCCATGTGAACAGGCTTAGAAAATTGTTCATGGGGGATGGATTTGACCCTCTCCTTAAAGATAGTAATAAGGATGACAGGCAGGAAGGAGAGAAGGTGGTATTTTGATGTAGTGTGTCCAAGTGGTTAAGCTACTGCCTGCCAAGCAATGAGTTACCCAGGATATCTCAAGGTAAGAATTTATTTGGTAGAATAATGGCAGATGAAATGAAACAGAAAGAACACAAGATTGTCCAAAACCAGTGGAGTTGTATTCTAAAAATGGAGGGGAAAGCTATACTTCTTTTTTTTTTGCTAGATTTATTTGATTTTATGTGTATGGGTATTTTTTTTTCTGAATGTATTATGTGCACCACATATGGCAGTGTCTGTGGAGGCCAGAAGAGGGCATCAGATTTCCCAGGAACTAGAAATGGAACAAGTGGATGGCTGCCAAGTGGATGCTGGGAACTGAACCCAGATCCTCTATAAGAGCAGAAAGTACTCTTAACCACTGAGCCATCTTTCTAGCCCCCAGCAATGTTTTTTTATTTTTAAGTAAGACTGATGTAATGTAAGGCATGTGTGCAATGAGCAGCTTCCTACTCAGACATCTAGGTAGTTCACTATCTAGTTTTTTACTCTATATGCAGCTGGATGGTGATAACCAATATGTGGCCCAGACTTTTAAACATGGGCAAATTCAGTGATGTATATAAATTCCACCCAAATGTTGAATTATTAAAAAATGGTGGCTGAAATTAAGACAGTCAACCACCCTTGGAACCTAAGTTAAACTTTTTGAGAGCATATTTACACATTTCGCAAGGCATGGAATGAAATGAAAGTCTTACCAATATTAACAATATACCTCTGGTCTAGTTGAGGGTTCTTGAATTTAAGGGACCACTCTCATACAGTGATGCATTGCGAGGTACCTTTACACTTCACTGCCAATGTTGTAGATATATGTTATCCATGTTTTACTACCTATGGTTCCAGGCCACTTCAAACAGAGAGATTGGTAATGACCTATTGACTACAAAACAGGATGAGAAACTATGTTGGGGAAGCAAATTTAGGTCAAAGAAACTTGAATCCAGTTGTAGTCTTGGGATAAGCTAGAGGAAAAAAGAGAGATGAGAGATAGCAGGAAGAAACAAGGTGGTAGGTGGAAGCACAGAGGAACTTCCAAAGAAGGGCCATGTCTTTCTCACAGGCAAGTTGAGACAAGAACAGAATAGATAAGGTCTGTGTTTAAATGTAGGTAGGCTTGCTATCAGGAAGATGCAGGCAGAGGAAGGTGAAGGAAGGGTTAATTATTGGTGATCCTATGCTAACAACACATACTTGATTTCCTTTATCCTCAGCTAGTACCTACTGTATTCATCCATTTGAAGATGAACCAACTGAGACTCAGAGTGGTGGCGTCATTTGCTTAAGGTTAAGTCAAAAGTGAACCATGTCTGAACTGTTCTTTCTACCAAAGCACACTACATCAATAGAGGACATCCACTATCATGGAGTCCTTTGTGCCTAGACTGCAAGTTAGTTAAATGCAAAGATTCAATGAGCTGCCTTTTCTGTGACGGAAATGAAACAGCAGTGAGGTCAGGGGCAGAAGGAAGCATAGGATATCTGGACAGGCCTCAATCGAGCCTGAAAATTCAGAGAGTGGTGGTGAGCATGTCAGGGGAATGTTTCTTCAGGGCATTGTTAGAAACCTCCATGTTAAGTGAGGAGTAGGCATCCATTCATCTATGACATGGAAAATTTGTCTAATAGGGCCAGGGTTCCTGGGTTGTAGAACATACTGGATATTGCCAGAAGGGCCTGGCTGACCTTGCTTGAAAGGGAAGTGGTGCATTGTTGATAGTGTGGATCTTATTGATATGAGTTACATTTAATGGCTTAAGTGCAAATGAGAAAGACAAAAGACATCCAGTAGGTTCAGCCATCATTTTACTCCCTAGACAGACCCATCCCTGGGGCTGTCAACACCTTTGCCAATTTCCTTTCACCATCCTCTCTCAAGCAAGTTCTTGAGGAGAGGGTTTGCTTTTACCATCTCGAAGTGGGCTTTCTCCTAATTTCCCAGACTGATTCTGGTCCGAATCTCCTGTCAAATCTTTCAGTGACTCTTTCTCTATGCCGGGACCTGGAGATTCAAGCTTCCAGCCTTAAATTTCAGTGAAGGTGTGAGCTTCCCTGAGCTATCACATCAGTTGACATGGAGCTAGTGAGATGGACCAAATTGCTCTCACAGGACACTAGAGACATTTTGGACTTTATAAATTTTAGAACATTTTTGCAGTTAAATAAGGTGTCTCAACTATAGGAGGTCACACACACACACACACACACACACACACAAGACATGCTTGCATACACATACCACTCACACATACACATACACTCACAATACATTCACACATTAACACACATGCACACACATTCACACACTGGCACTCGCATGGTTTCTCTCTCTTCTCTCTGTCTCTGTCTCTGTCTCTGCCTCTGCCTCTGTCTCTGTCTCAGTCTCTGTCACTCTCTCTCACACCCTCCCCGCCCCTCCACGCACACACACACACACACACACACACACACACACACACACACACACACACTGCAAGCAGCAGATCTGTGGCATTTCTTGATAAATTGTGAAGGTCTTGAGCATAACAGGATTAAAAGACATAAACAATCAGATTTTCAGGGCTCTGATATATACCAAGCCCTATAGATTGATGGTGGGAGTTAGCTAACTTTCTGCCTTGCATCAGTGCAATAAATAGGACTCACTAAAAACATGCATTTTTATATATACATCTTTATCACTATTACTTAGAATAGATTATGTGCCAAAAATGTGCTATGAATTTTCTAGATGTGACAAACCTGGCAGTATTTTACAAATAGCTGTAGTATTATTACCATACGCTCTGGTTTGGGAGTCATTTCTGAAGTTTGACTCAGGCTGGTTGTGGTTTAAGACTAGTGGTTTTTTGATTTAGAAACTCCCATCCACCACTTGGCAGAACATTGCAACTGACAAGAACAAAATTAGTTTGCAAAATGGAAAATGAACTCTCCCAGCTGTCTGCAGGAGAGCTAACCTCCTGGTCTGCATTCTCTTAGGGTTGCTGAGGAAGAGCTATGGTGAGGGGAGGGTGGTGGGGGCTCGGATGTGAAGTCACTCTACTCAGTAGAGTGAATTCCCTCTTTCCTTGGGGAAGCATGTCAGGGTCATGCATTAGAAAAGCTGCCTCCCCAGTGACTTTTTTGGTTTGATTCAGGGATCTGGTTTCCAGTCCATTTATTGCCAGACTCTATTATTAAAAATATCTGTAGATTTATGAGAATCAGGGCAGCCTTCAATAGTTTACTATGAGGATATTCTGATTTAGCCTAAAATAATCCCCAGTTCATTAACATGCTCTTCAGTAACCATTGCATTTTACCTCCCAGCACGTTGCCTCTCTATTCTTGTTAATGTCCCCAGCCTCACACTACACCCAGTACACCAAGCCTTCAGCATTCCTTGAGTCTACAGTTCACACTGCACTTGGTATAAGGAAAGAAAATGCCCAAATGGAAGCGACTTTTCATGTCATTATTTGTAAGTTATGAATCTAGATAAGTAATTTTACATTTAATTACAATGTCACTGGGGTTCATTAACTTATCACCCATTCCACTAGCACAATATGGGGAGTGTATCTGTATTCTTGTGTGCCGATGGTTCAATTCTATTAGTCATCACAGGCTATCCTAAGATATAATCTAGGCTTCCTTTTTCTTCTTCTTCTTCTTCTTCTTCTTCTTCTTCTTCTTCTTCTTCTTCTTCTTCTTCTTCTTCTTCTTCTTCTTCATCTTCTTCTTCTTCTTCTTCTTTTGAGTGTCTTGGCTTAGGATTGTCTTTCCAAAGGAAAAATTAGGTAAGATAAAGGAAGCAAGATTAAATTTAAAAGCTAAGAAAGAAACAAGAAGTCTCAGCATGGTTCTAGACCTAGATCGGCTTATTTAAACCAATCTTTGCATTAGGACAGAGTCTGGAAGATGGTCTGGTATCATAATCATCCAGGAGCCTTGAGAAGTCTCCGTGTTCAGACACAGTGGCTGAGCAACAAAACCAGAACCTTGAAGGACAAAGCTCATGGTGAGACCTGCATGAGACTCTCCATGGAGCTTTACTCTTTGATGCCCTTGTGCCTTAGTTTCTTCGTCATGGAACTCAGGAAAATAATGAACAAAATACAAATTTATAAAATTAAAGTATCAGAGAGTGTTTAGAAAATAACACAGGCTAAGATGGGTTAGCATTTTGAGAACAAAAAATCAAAGCAGTACATAATTTAAACACAATGCTCATTAGATCCTAATTATAAGCAAGAGGTTTGGTTTTGGAAGTGTCTGGCTGTCTGAACTTGACCCCCAAATGCACTATTTACCAAAATGCCTCATTTCAGGGAAAGTTTCTCATGTCTGCCTCTTATTCCTAGAATGGTGAAGATATGCTATGTCCTGTTCCTGCTAGTCACACAACATGCCTGCCTAAGCCCCATGGCTCCACAAGAGAGGGTGGATGAGATGAGGTAAATGAACTTGGCTTCGATGGTTCCTATTAGCACTTTGCATCCATAGATAAGACTGCTGTGTACCTCACTGAGGAGGAGCTTGTGGCATACAAACAGGATCATTTGGGGGCTGATGGGTTTCTTCCTTAATAAAGCTACTTTCATACCAACACATATCACAATTTTCATTGTGTCACTGTATGACAACGGATGACACATTTGCTGCCTTTACCTAGATCAAATCCAATGAACATTTACTAAGTACCCAAGAGTCTGAGCTTCAGACTATCAGTTCTTCACCTTTAAGCATATGATCCCCTTTCCGTGCTCCTAAAAGGTAGACAAATTAATTTTATCCCCACTCCCATTTTCTCTGGCAGGAAAGAGGCTTGGGAGAGAAACAAATTTGCCTAAAGTTATACAGGTGGACAAGCCATTCCTCTCTCTCACAAGAGGTTTCATATCAAAAATGCCTTTGTTCACGTGGCTCACTGCCCCCCCCTCCCGTAAGCCATTCATCACCCATGACTCTTTGCAGACCAAAGAAAATAAAGAACAAGGTAGAGTTGGTACCCAGAGTGTATAAAAAGAAACATGGACTTACTTAAAGGATGCTCCAGGATGAAGGTTAAAATAGGTGACTTTTGCCGACTCCTTTTTTTTATTCTACTGCCTTTCTGCTCTACTTTCTGTTTCATAAGAAATCACTTTTTCAATTCCAAGTGGGCCAGGTGAAAGGTCATTGTATAAACAATGCACAGAATCAGAACTAATGAGAGTGCAGGAAATGGTTTCTACAGACACCCAAAGGGTTTACATAACTATTATTACTTTTAGTTCCCCTTAGGAAAAGGCTTTCCGTGGTGGCCAGATATAATCTGATTGCCAAATGCAAAATGTCTTGTTAAATTTATATCCCTTTAAGTCCCTAATTCATTTATTTTGATGGCTTGGTCTTTTGTGTGTTGACCTTTACAAGGCTGAGCACTGGTCACCCAAGCTTACTGGTCAAATTTATTATTTGGAGGCAGAGAAAACAAGCAGTTTCTGACTTAGTTGCCATATAAAGATAATTTCAATGTGAAGCCAACACTTTCTACACAAGATTTTAAAAAGGTTTCTCTAAAATCAATATGCATTTTCTCCCATCAGAATGTCAAGTTTACTTTATCTTATTGTACACCTAGATGTTATATTTGCTTTTTAAAGTTTTTCTTTTGAGAATCTTAGAGAAAAATTGAAACAAAACATAAATCCAAATGTCCAGAGGTCCAGAACTGTGGGATGGAATGGTCAGACATAGGGCACCTGTGAGAAACTGCATATAAAATGTCTGGGCCGGGGGCAGATGCTTGTGTTGAGATGTGTGGGCTGTCCCCTACAGAGAATAAAGCCAGAAGGTATCTTAATTTGTGTTTCTACCCTGGTTGAGTTGGGAATATTATTAGTAGGGTGCTCTGGAATCAGAGTAAAAGGATTCTTGTTTCCAGCTGTGTCTAGTACCCCTCACAGCTACAGACCCAATCTTGTTTCCAGGTGTGTCTAGAACCCCTCACAGATACAGACCCATCCACAAGGCTATCTTGCCTTACATACTCATTACCTGCTGGAGCTGATCTCAGGTCTCTCCTTCCAAGATCCCTAAGAGACTGAGCTCTCAAAGTTACCTCATCAAGCCCTCTACAACATTCTCCATAGAGGCTGCTGGCCCAGCTCTGCTCACTGCCTACAGCTGCTTAGTTGGATTAGACAAAACTCTTGGTGGGCAGGTGGAAGACAGTGAAAACATGTTTAGGTATCTAAAATAGCTGATGTGAGGCAGGAGGATCAGGACCACACCCACATCGACCTCCCAGATGGAAGGCAGTTCTTCAGGAAGCAAGTAAGATGGGCACATCAGAAGCCTGAGTGGAATATATGGGCAATCTTGTAACCGGCCTGGCACACTTAGAGTGGGGAACCAAGCAAACACACTTCAAGAAAGAGGCGGTACCATTAGGAAATCTGCAAACATATTTGTGAAGCAATGCTAGTAGTGACTACAGAGAGAGAAGGTCACTTACATTAACCCAGGGATGCTCAAGGACCTGCAGGGCTGAAAATCTCTGGTCCACGTTAACTAGCAGCATCATGTTGATGAGCTCCTGCGAAGGGGAATATTAGACTTCATTTATCCAACCCTGGAGGGAAAAGCTGGGGGTCTGCAAATTCAGAACTGCAATCTCAGCTTGGAAAAGCATTTCAAAAAGCTCCCAATCTAAATCATGTCACTCCATTTACCCATGGCTAGCTGGATCCCACCTTCAAACGTTAAAGAGATTGGGAACTTTTGGAACACAAATATATAGCTTAGTTGATAGAAAAATAAATGAAATCACTATTTATATAAATTCCATAAAACTCTTCTAGAAGCAAAGGAATTACTCATATTAAACAATGAGTGATCCACCTTTTTACTAGGATGCAATAGTTTAAAACCAGATTTCTTTTGTTGTTTTTTTTTTCCTCAACTTTTTTTATTTGAATTAGAAACAGGATTGTTTTACATGCCAATCCCAGTTCCCTTCTCCCTCCCATCCTCCCCACCACCACCCCCCAACTAAAACCCTACCTATCACATATCCTTTCTGCTCCCCCTGGATGGTGAGGTCTTCCATAGGGGGTCATTAGAATCTATCATATCCTTTGGGATAGGGCCTAGGCCCACCCCCACCCCCCACTCTTGGCTCAGGGAGTATTCCTCCATATGGAATGGGCTCCCAAAGTCCACACCTATGCTAGGGATACGTACTGAACTTCTACAGGAGGTACCGTAGATGAAAAGCCAGATTTCTTAGTTGTTAGAAGTCACATCAAAAATAAAGAACAGCTTTGTGACTGGAGAGATGACTCGGTGGTTAAGAGCATTGAATGCTTTTCTAGAGAACCCAGATTCAACTCCCAGCACCCTCATGGTGGCTCAGAACATGTAACTCCAGTTCCAGAAGCTATCACAACCCGTTCTGGCCTCTACAGGCACTGTATTCATGAGACGAATGTGCATACATACAGGCAAAACACTCAGATGCATGGAATAAAAATAAATAAAATCTTTCAAAAATACTTTAAATTTCTGTTTTGACAGGCAAGAAAATGGGTCCTCACTCTAATTTCCAGCCTGGGCTACATGGTGAGACTATATTTATAGGGGAGAATGCCTTTGCTTGTCCCTCAGATCTATCATCGTGGGACTTTTCTTTTACACTTCTCTCAACTCCTGATATTTCCCTAAGTCCAAAGGCAGACATGGTGGAAGAAGATGAGAGGCCCGTGTCCAGCAAGCATCATTTTATGTATACAGAGATCCTGTCTGAGCAGAAGAGTTTTAAATTGGACTCTGATTCAGGAGAGAGAAAAAAAGTCATATGCACTGAATGACCAGAAAATGACCAAGTCTTCAACACTGAATTTTGGAGAATTTAAGTCAGCACTACTGTTCACAAAACAGCTTGAATATCTCTTACTCAAAACAAGACTTTTGGATTTTGGATTTTTGTCTAAATTTTGCAGTATTTGCGGGCACATAATGGTATCTTGAAGATGGAACACAAATCAAAACACAAAATTTAATTGTTTCATTATAGTAGCCTGAAAATACCTTTCCGTGGTATTTTTAGCATGCCTGTATTTGACTCCAGTCTGTCACAGGAGCAGAATTTTCCATTTGGGATGACATGTGTTGACACTCAAATTTCAGATTTCATTGCATTTTGGATTGGAGGGGTTTCAAATTAGGACTGTTCAATCTATAGACATTTGAAAGAGATGAAATTGTCCTCTCCCTGAAGTCTACCAATAGAACAACTAAAATTATTCATTTTCTTAGATGCAAATATATTTAAAAAACATGTTAATACACATAAAGTTACCACTTTGCTCATTTTTTCACATCCAGTTCCATGCCATTCAGTTCTTTCACTCTGCTGGGAACACTCCCCACAATCCATCAGAGGAGCTGATCTTGGTTCAGCAGGATTAAGAAACACGAGTTCCATCCCTCCTGTCTCTGAACCCCAGGCATCCTATAAAGTCAGACTTGAATCCGACTTTATATGGCATCTTCATGATGTCCTTTTTGAGGCTAAGTTCTCTTCCCTCTGATTAATCAGTTACTTGATTCACTTATTTATACACTGCTGGTTTATTGAATTCATAGGACCACTGGTTGTGTCCTGGTCATGATGTAGGAACTGATGATATGACAGTGAACTAAATGGGCAAAAATCAGGGGCTAGAGAGACAGCTCAGTGGTTAACAGCACTTACTGCTCTTGAAGAGGACCTGAGTTCAGTTCCCAGCACTCACAACAGGTGGTTAGAAACCACCTGCTACTCTCTTCCCAGGCAAACACACAAACACATGGAAAAGGTTTTTAAAAACGGGCAAAAATTTCAACTTTCACAGAATTTGCATTCTAGTGGGAGAGTATGGAAACTAATTGCATAAGTAGGATTTGATCTCCTACCTACATATATGTGTTTAAATAGGTGGATATAGGTGGACAGTTATATGACAGAGAGGATGGACATGAGAGTTTACATTCTGTTTTTGAGACTGAAAATATACGTTGTACATAAAACAATAAAATAGAGGAGGAGGACAAGGCAGGGAGGACAAGGTGAGGAAGATAAACGGTGAGCCAGGAAAAAGTTAAGAGCTACAACTAACACCAGTGACCACAGGTGGCTTTCCTGAGAGGAACCATGCAGGGAAAACAACAATGCTGTGCCTAATTGAGACTGGAGTGACAACAAGGTGGTGGTCCCTTGACAAACAGCTTTGGGGACGACTGAGCCCTGATGTCTGTGCAATCTTGGAAAACCCAGTTATTCTATGTGAAGTCACATTTCTATCACCAGTCTGTTCATCTATGCTGATTTAGTTAGCATCAACACTTCCATTAAGGCACCAGGCTCCAGAGAACAGGACAGCAGTGGACCCCCTACCTTAGCAGAATCTGACACATTGTCCCAGTATGGAGATGGGAAGTCCACTTGGCCCATCAGGATCTGATCAAAAAGCACCTCTTGGTCATCACCACTTCTGTGTAGACAATAAGACAAAGTAGAGCTCAACATCAGCTCACCATGTGCCTCTTAAATGGGCAAAGTATACATTTTTTAAGCCACTGAAAATGTAAGTATGCAATTATTTTGGTAAATTGACAAAGAATGAGGTTAAAGACTACATGAGGAAAATTTATATAAAGCATATAAATTAGCATGCACCATGGAAAAAAGAATGGGAATTGCAAGCAGGTTCTTATTATGTTCCCTGCTGCTACAGGCTCCTTTGTGTGATAAGGACGAATGGACCATTCAGAGAAATGATTTGTTGGTGCTGAATAAAAGATTGCTGCCCATACCCACGGAATGGAGGGAAACCACACAGCAGGATGTAAGTGATCACACCAGCTGCCCAGATGTCCACCTTGAGGCCATATCTGAAAAAAAGAAATGATGTTGGAGTTAGCAAAGTTAGCTAGGACAAATTACAGCCAAAAATCACGACTCTTCCACTGCCAGCACAAGGAGATCTATCAAAATTTTAAAAATCTGACAACAAAACTAAAACTCATAACCCCTAAAAGAGAATTCTTTCATAGTACTGGAAGGTACTATGCAAGCTGCCATGAGAGTTTAGCAACCAATAGTCCTACTTGGCTGTAGTGCTTATGAGCCACGTCAATGACAGGTTTGTCAAGACAGTCCCAAAGATGCAATGGCGGGCTGCCGGAGAGGCTGGGAAATATGGAGGACCCTAAGAGAGACATACATGGTCCCCTGGAGAGGGGGAAAGGAACAAGATCTCCTGAGAAAATGGGGAGCAGGGGGGGAGGGGAGAGGGAACTAGGAGAATGAGAAGGGGAGAAGAAGAGGGGTGAGGAAGACATGATGGGGCAGGGAGGTTGAGTTGGGGGAAGAACAGAAGAGAGCAAGATAAGAGATAATATAATGGATACATTTTAGGTTTACAGAGAAATCAGGCACTAGGGAAATGTCTGAAGAGCTGCAAAGATGACACCAACTAACAATCCTAAGCAACAGAGGAGAGGGCCTTCATCTAGCAGCTGGTGGGAGTAGAAGCAGACACCCACAGCTAAACCTTGAACTGAACTGGAATCCAGTTGCAGAGAAGAAGGACTGATGAACAAATGGGTCCAGACCAGGCTGGTGAAACCCACAGCAACTGCTGACCTGAACAAGAGGGAGCTCTTGGTCCCCAGACTGATAGCTGGGAAACCAGCATGGGACTGATCCAGACCCCCTGAATGTGGGTGTCAGTGAGGAGACTGGAAAATCTATGGGGTCTCTTGTAGTGGATCAGTACTTATCCCTAGCATAGGAATGGACTTTGGGAGCCCATCCCACATGGAGGGATACTCGCTGAGCCTAGACACAAGGGGGTAGCCTAGGCCCTATTCCAAAGAATAAGACAGAATTTGAAGACCCTCCTATGGAAGGCCTCACCCTCCCTTGGGAGCAGAAAGGGTATGGGATAGGTAGGGTGTTATTTGTGGGGGGGGGCAGGGGAGGAGGGGAGGGAGAGGAAGCTGGGATTGACATGTAAAATAATTTTCTTTCTAATAATATATATAGATGCAGTGGCGGTACTCCTGTCTTAGTGGTAACCGATGACTTTAATTAGACTTAAGGCTTGATCAACAGGATGGGAATCATGCTGGCTACAGTGCGGTTCCTAGATGCATTCTGATTATTTAGCCTTATATCCACCTCTCATCAAAGGAGTTTCTCTCTGCAACAAATGAGACCATTGCAGAAAATCACACCCAGTCAAAATGAAGAGAATAACTGATTGTGGAGTGACAAGACCGAATGGATGCACCCAAGGTACAGAGAACATCATGGGGCAGAAAGATTGTAAGAGCCAGACTTGCAAGAAATCTGATGTGCAATTGTGTCTCCTAGATTTTGAGCAGGAAGCTTCAACAGGATGGAAGTATATAGCTGCCCGAACAAGACCTGAATAATGACAGCACCAGCGGATATGCTAATGGTGAGGAGGCGAATCTTATGGGGCTCCAGCCCTAGACAAGCAACTAAGGAATGCTGAAATCTGAGAGAGGAGAATTGTCTTCCCCAGGGATGCGCATCCTAGTTAGTTATCCAATGCCAAATGGTCATCCCTGAAATCATATACATAGAAATAACAATAAACTGGCCCATCAGGGAATAGTAACAAAATAAAGGAGATCATGAATTACAGATCATGTGGGGGAATGGATGGGTCTGCAGGGAAGACAGGGAAGGAGACCATGATGTAACCATATTTTAACTTTAAAAATTGTATCACATAAAAATATGTCTACAAAAAAGAAAACAAGGAAACAAAACACTACTGGAAAGATGGCTCAGCAGTTAAGAGCTGTGGTTGCTTTGCAGAAGACAACGGTTCTGTTCCCTGCACCCACACGGTGGCAGCTTACATATGCAACTTGAGTTCCAGAGAAGCTGACACCCTCTTCTGACCTCCATGGGCACTTCATGTATATGCATATGGCAGACAGATACATGCAGGCAAAACATTCAGAAACATAAAATAAAGACAAATATTTAAAAAACATAAATTGAAAAAGACTGAGACACGCGCACGCGCACACACACAGACACACACACACACACACACACACATACACACACACACATCAAATATTACAAGCCTTGGCTGATATGTTTTCTATGGGTATATTGATTTTAGATGGGGCTGGATCCAAATGCCCTTGATTTAGAAGCAGCAATTAAAGATTTTTTTTTTTTTTTTAGTTTCTAAGTATGCTCTACATTATCTTATTTCTTCCCCCTCAAACACTGTAGACTGGACAAGATAAATATTACCTATTTTACAGAAGATAAAATGAGTGTAGTGGGTAAGTAATTTTGCTCACGGTCACATCATTTGTCAGCAACAGAACTGGGCCCCAACCAAGCACACAACAAAATTCTTGTTGTTGCAATGCACACAGCACGAACCAAGATGTTCTGGTCAGAAAGCTGCTTGGTAGAGGCAGTGTTACCAAGGGGTGGCAGCTGAGGTACTTGTGTGAGCTTTCAAATCACTCAAATGTGACTAACAAAATCCTTCACAGAGCTGAGGAGCCAGCTTAGCGAGGAAAGCAGCTTTCCACCAAGGCTGATGGACCTGAGTTTGATTCTGTTGGCCTGGGTGGTAGAAAGAGAGAGGACACACTCCTGAAAGTTGTCCACCGTGTCTTCATCAAATAAAAGAAGAATAAGGAGTCCTAAGGATTCCTCCACCAGGGTTACCTGCTCATGTATTCTGTCATTCTGGCTCTTGGGTGACTAAACAAATAGAAATATGTTCTCTACCTGGGTATAAGTTTAAGTCATGAGGGAAAAGAATACTTGGGGCTGAGAGGGAAGCTCAGGGGAGAGTGTTTATGTAGTATGCAAGAGGCCCAGGATTTAAGTCTTTGTAGCAGAACACAAACAAACAAAGCAACAGAAAGAGAGTTGCTTTCCTGTTCTCACACACCACCCTTCTCATTCCTTTGGTTGAAGGATAGCATTTCAGATCTCTGGCTGTGGCTCTTGGTTACAAAATTAAAACCAAACCAAAATAAAACAAAAAACCTGATAGAGCCTGTATTTAAGTCACCCTGAGTTCAAATCCCAATTCAGCTGCTAGGGAGTTATGTAATTACAGGACACTTAGTCCATTGGAGGAAAAAAATCTCAACGCAATCGCCAGGGAAATGAAAGGAGCACTGTGCACCACCAGAGTGAGAATTAAGTAGAGTTTAAGACTTAGTACATAGTAGGTCCATAAGGAATGGGTTACTCCCATCTCAATCTGGGGCAGAGACTGACATGCATTCCATTCTGCACACACACCAGCCAATGGTGTGTCCAATGGTCCTCGGAGGCCCAAGACGTTTGCTTTCCTTAGAGAAGTAATAGATCTCTAAGATGACTAAAATGGGACCAGGGCACAAAGCTAGATGAGAAAAATGACCAGAGGGGAGTTTACAAGCATATACAGCAGTGTCTCCTTTTCTATTTAAAAGTGATTTATTTACTATTGATACATGTTTCTCTGCTTATCTGGACATTTATACTAAATATTTTTATGGTTAATAGCTGTTTTACCTTTAGCAGAGACCAAATGAAAGCTTTAAAGAAGATGACAGTCACTGGCAACTTGATTGGGAAGACAAAGAAAAATGGCTTGCTGAACAGGTGGGGGAGGGGGAGGGGAAAGGTGGGGGAGGAAGAATTGATGGCTAATTCTGTCCAAGGGTAATAGCTCTTTAATGGTTCTCATTCCTCTGCAAGCTCTAAAGAAAAAGGGGAGTGTACTCACCCAGTCTCTGCAATGATTTCTGGAGCCACATATGTTGGGGTGCCGCAGACTGTGTACAGGGGGCCATCGACAATGGTGGCCAGACCAAAGTCACCCAACTTGAGTGACTTACTGCCATCCTGGTGCTCATACACCTAAAATAAAAGTTAAGAAGCTTAAGTGTCTTAAAGCCAAGAGCACTGCTGTAATTTCATATAAATAAAGCAAAAGTCCAGGCAATCATGTGAGGATAGCCATTCCAGAGCATCTTTCTTGATTTCATTGCAATGTGAGAGGCAAGTAAGGAATGCCAAATGGAAACTCATTAAACAAATAATGGGGGGGGGCATCCCTACAACAGGATGCAGATGCTCCTGAAAATGGTGATGTGGGGGCTGGGGAGATGGTTTAGTGGGCAAAGGTGCATGCCATCAAGCCTGATGATGTTAAGTTTCATCCCAGGACCAATACACATGATGGACACACACACACACACACACACACACACACACACACACACACACACACTCCATCACACATACTCTCACACACATAATACTCACACACATATATATATACATATACAAACACACAGGTATATACACATACTCACACATATACAAACACATACTTACACACATGCATACAATAAATAAACAAGTTAAATGGTAATGTAGGATTATATTTATTGAAATGAATTATAGTTGGGAATTGAGGATAGGGGCTTCAGGTTGTTTTGTATATGTCCATTAAAAATACATTTTGAGTCCACAGTCTGGAATAACTTAGCACTGGCCTTGCTACTCTGGGAAGTAATTATGAAGCTTTCTCCCTTTGCCTATGTGCATTTGATGCTTTCTACAAAGGAATACCAGAAAGTCTCTATCTTTGAATTTACCATTCATGAAGTCACTTCAGTTCTACATGCCACCCTTCAGTAACAGAACAAAACATCCACGCAGATATTAAAATACTTTGTTTTCAGTGCCCCACATTTCCAGCAAGATCTATTTATATTTTTTATTAATAATTGAAGAGCATGTTAACATTTCATTTCACCTGTGGCAATTTGGAAAGATTTATTGGGTGTAGCGTCAGCACACGGCCCAGCTTTCCTTATTAGGGCAGTAAGTCTTTCTCTGAACAAATCAAAACAAGCAGCCTCTTGCCTCTCAGGCAAATATGTAAACCCCTTAATAGTAGTTCAAGAAAAAACCAAAAGGACATTTTTTTTAAAGCAGCCCAAACAACCTCATTGATTACAAAGGATAAAAGGGCATGCAGAGTTCTAACTCAGTGCCCTCTCCTCGACTCAGTAAGATGGAGAGAGCCACAAGTCAACCCTGTTTCCAGACTGCAAGTGCAATCTTCGAGAGATCCTCCAAAGAAGTAACCAAGTTTTCATCAAAGTGATTTATCCAGCATGTTGAGGCTTGTATGTCCCTCTGTTATCACTTGCTGAAGCTGTCACTTGCTGAAGCTGAATGGCCTCCTGCACAGCAAGACACGTCTTCACATATTGGGAGCACCACCACTGTGCTTGCTGCCTTTGACTGCCTTTGCATTCCCCTGAGCACGGGGGCAGATGTTTGGCCAGCTCAGCTCCAATGACCAATTGGAGCTGACTGTTTTGGCAGAGGCAGATCTACTTCTCTGGGGGAGACTGTCTTTTCTGCATGAAAACAATTCATCTACATCTTACCCACATTCATAATGGGGACTCTTTGTCTGTAGGGTTCTGGATCCTGATCAAGTTTGGGCTGCCCTCAGATAGGCATCCAAAGACTTAGACAATCACGGGCAGTTTGGCTGCTAGGGCAAAGACAGCCACATGTCCAGTTGTTCTCTGGTGTGGGTACTGTCTTCTCTACTGAATGAAGCAGCTGTGCGGGTTTAAGTTAGCACTTGGAGGCACCAGATCTATGAAACACTATAGTCTCTCCAGCCCAAATATTATCGTGGAAGCCATTCTGGTCATCCAAACAATAAGCAAATGTTTTCCATGAAAGGAAACCTGAGATGGGAACATAGAGATTGGCTGTCTAGTTCATTTCCCGTATGGACCAGAGCTGTTTACCTCCTGAATTCCATTTTGGTATCAATAACTTTTCTAAATTGCACAATGCCCTCTTGCTTTGATGTTGTGTGGGGTCCAAGCATTCACGATGTGTACTTTGTAAAGCTGAGCAGATTATGATATATTCAACCCCATTTATGCAGGAAGCTTCCCACCCCTAAACACAGTATCTGTATCACCTAGCTTTATTCAAAAGTTTGATGAAACCAGATGTTGAAGGACTCATCGGAGGCCTGTTGTGGTTCTGAATATGACTCTGTAATTTCCTCACAGGAGGAGGGTTACTAATGATTGCCATTTTAATAAGAATTCTGTCTAACTGCATACAAATTATATTTAATATAGATGAGCAATGTAGTTGAAACTAAAGAGAATGTAAGGGCTGGGGTTCAACCTCCAGCACTGCAAAAGCCAACAAGCAAAAGGAAAAGAAAACACAAAGATGCTACATAAAATGATGGAGGCATCTTTTAAAATATTAATACTTTCACAAACTGCATAACATTTAAATATATTGAAGCTATAATTGTATTCCTTTTTATTTCTTTAATCACATACATGTGCAATTCCCCCCTGCTTTTTTTTAATATTTGAGAACTGTGCAATTTTCATGAGTATAAGAGACTCAAGTTATATCCAGGCAGGACAGACAAAAAAAAAGGGCTTAGAGACAAAGGCAAATTCCATGTAATTGAAAACAGTTCTAGACACGAGTCCTGTAAAAATGCTTCAACAAAACGTTTTTGCAGGTGAATTAATATATGTCCAGGCCTCTAGCTGGATATTCTGTTTAACTTATTGTCAGGCAGGGCTGGAAACAAGATTACTCTGGGGTTTTCCTTCTGTCACCACTGTGGGAGAAGGATGGAGAAGAGTTACTCTGTGTTTGTTCTCTTCCAGTGGGAGCACCCTTTCTTTGTGGCACACTGAACTTTTTCACAAATGGGGCTCATTAGGAGTGCTGGCTGCAACCAGAGGACATATTTTTTTTGTATCTTTGAGACACAATTTCTTTGTATAGCCCTGGCTGTCTTGAAACTTGCTCTGTAGATGAGGCTGGCCTCGAACTCAAAGAGATCTGGCTGGCTCTGCCTCCTGAGTGTTGGGATTAAAGGCACATGTCACCACCACCCAGCAGGACATTTACTCTTATCTATCACTGTATCTAGTGTGGACAGACTTGTGAACCTGTGAGGCCACTTGCAGATGTAATTAAAACACTACTTTAAAAAAAAATCACAGCTTGCTCAATTTATGTTTGTAGTTTATGTGTTTGTGCATGTACAACACACACTCCCAAAACTATCTCTACACAATATTTCCAGGGCAACCCTAAATTCACATGGAATCAAAGTTTTAATTAAAAGTTCAAAAGCATGAAGGTTGCTCACAAATTCCCATTTAAGATGCTAAGTCTTAGGGTGGAAGAAACTGCTCTTCTGTTTTTTCAGAGGACCCAAGTTTGGTTCCCAGCACCCATATCTTGTGGTTCAAAACTGCCTGTAACTCCAGCTCCAGGGCATCTAACATTCTCTTCTGGTCACCATAGGCACTGTACTCATATAAACACACATATTTAAAAATAAAAATTTAAAGTTGCCCTCAAGCTTCACAAAATAACATAAACTTACTAAAGAAATGATAAGTCTCAGAATGAATTCTGAAGTTTTTTGGGGAGCAGCTCTCTGTATCATGACCTTTTCAGAAAGGGTGTTAACAGGCTTCGAGTTCAGACCCTGACAGCCTAACCTACTGAGTTGGGCTCTGGTAAAGGGGGAACGTTTTTTGCCACGATTGTATGTTAAAGCCCCTATAAAACATGACCCACACGTTTAGCGGGAACACATTAATTGTCAGTCAAAGAGTTCACAACATGAGGTATAATTTAACATTCATCCCAGGCCCCTTAAATACTATAGCTGTTCCCCCACATTTTAAACAGTGAGGGGCGATTAAAAAGACGAGGATTAGTGCAAATTACCCAGCATGTAGTGCTCTCACTGTTTTAACTAAGCAATAAAACTGTGTAATTGTACAACACTAATTGAATGCAGCTACACGAAATTGTGGGCTGCCATATGTATCCTATTACCATAAAGATTGCCAGTGTATTGTAAGCTGCCCTTGTGATCATTGCAGATGGCTATAGTCAGAGAAGTAGTTCTCTTGGGTTTATTATGTGGCCATAAAGTCATCTTATGATTTGACAGACTAAATGTGTCGAATGACAACAATTATGAAAAAGGTTTCAATTAGAAGCCGAGGGCACACCCTACAGGGGCTCAGTAAACTGAAATTTCAAGATATAGATTTGGGGTATGTTGGTATTTATTTTAAAAAGTGTTTTTATTTTTTGTGTCTTTGTGGGTTAGCTGGAGTTTTGTGTCAGCTGTAACTTGTTGAACAGTAGGTATTGGGGCATTTGCTGACTTCCCTTGAATGGGAAGCTGAGGCCATTTGGAACAGTTTTTGAAAAAAAAATTAATATATACTCATAAAACTGCATCAGTGACCATAAAGTATGAAAACTCACAGATAACCTGAGCCCAGTCAAGTGGTTTCTGAGATTTGTCTTATGGGGGAGGGAAAGCTGACTGATAAAACAGATGTGTTAGAAACACACAGCTCTCAGAGTTGCTACAAATTCAAGGCTAGCCCTGCTGAAACTATAGCCAGTGAATAGTTAGTAACCACGGAAATAGTTTCACGGGGGGCTCTCAGTAGGGATTAACAATGACTTCACCAAACAGACTTGACAAAGTGGCGTGAAATGAACAAAGCCAGTGGAAGGGGTCAGTTTTCTTTTACTATCTATGGAGACCTTTAAAAAGAGTCTGATTTCCCTGAAGCCTGGCGTAAGGCCTTCACAGAGCTCCTTAAGAAATGTTTGGATCTAAGTCTTTAACCCTCAAGAAGCAAAGGAGAGCTGCACTTCAGTGGGGAATTGTTTTGCAAAGAGTGCTTTATGACCACAACACCTTAAATTAGATGTCTTGAGAAAAAAAATCCTAATGAGAACAAAAAGCCATTTCTATTCCCACATGTCAAATATTTCAGAAACCACAAACTAAATAAAAT